CCTATCCAAAAAAATATTTTACAAAATTAAGTTTGTAAATTGCAAGTTGCATATTGCATATGTAGTTTGTCTGAATTTATATGGTTATTTTTAGAGTGACTATTATTTGAGTATCTGACTGCTATGATGCGACAAGTTATTTCATCATATTCCAGATGATGCATATTTGTGGTGTTTGTACTGATTTCCAAGAAAAGGCAACTTAAAGTTTTCAAAAAACATAGTTCGTCACACGAACATAGTTAAGGGATTAATTTGTTAAAAACTTTAGAGTTATAATTTTAATGTTATATTAATAATGGAAATCCAGTGTGGTCTAACATTTTTCACATTTTTTTTCCCGTGAAATAATAAACAAATAATATAGTTTCAAAACATTTTTGCCGGACCTGGACTCAGTAATGATAACCTGATTCAATAATTTTACTTAAAAATGATACTATGAACGACTGAAATTTGAAAAGGTGTTTCTTACCAGTCATTCGAGAAAGAAACCACATCGGGTATACTCCTACTATTTTTTCAATTGAAGATGCATGGTATAGTGCTTTATTTATGTTTAATTTTTACAAATTTTCAAAAAGTTAACGTTTTTATAAAAATAAACCATTTAAAAAATATGTATGAATACCTACGTATTAGTTTTTTTATACATCGGAAAATGATAAATAATGATAATCAATGACTGATTTTATATCTTTAGACAAAATACATACATACATACATACTTATTTATTTATTTATTAATTTAAACAGGTGGAACCCAATTATAATTTTTTATAATTAAATACAATTTTGTGGACTTAAATCTATTAAAAAGAAATACAGTAAATAGTATATGTATATATATAAATAATAATATTAAAAACTATAAAAACAATATAAAAATATAATTTAGACAATAATAATATAGGTAGCAGAAATAATTTATAGATACGCAATATGGTTACAAAAACAATCAAAAGAAGGAAAATTAAATAGATCTATCTGGACGTCATTAGTTATTTTCATTAATATATTAATAGGCGAACAAAGTGCGTAATTAGTTCTTTGAAATGGAATGTAAAAAGTATTTGCAGATCTAGTTCGAAAATGAGGAACATTAAAATTTAAGCAGCTGAGTAATTCGGGATAATTTAAAAAACCATTTACTATTTTATATGGAAATTTCAAATTAATGATTTTTCTCTTTACAGCTAGACTGGTCATATTTAATTGGTTTAATAACGGTGTATATTGTGAGTGTAATTTACGTGGTATATTACATTTGTAAGAGATAAAACGAAGAAAACGATTTTGAATAGCTTCTAAGCTTTGTATATGAACAACACTAGAGAGTGACCATACGACCGAGTTGTATTCCAAAGAAGAACGCACTAGAGAAAAATACAGAATTTTTAATGCATCGGAATTAGAAAAATCTTTACAAGTTCTATTAATAAAATCTAATGTAGTAGATTTTTTTTTTTGTTATGTTTAAATAATATTTATTGAAAGAAAAAGTTGAGTTAAATGTAACCCACAAATTGTAAATTTCAAAAACGCGTTGAAGTACAATATTATTTATGGTATAATCATTAATAATTGGAGAGCGAGATCTAGTAAACGACATTACTTTGCACTTATCAATATTTAACGGTAATTTGTTTGAATTACACCAAGTAGATAGTGTATTTAGATCATTTTGAAGGAGAGCTAAATCAGAATGTGATTTAATTAAACGAAAGATTTTCATATCATCGGAAAAAAGTAATTTATTAGAATTGGGAAAATGTAAATCATTTATGAATAATAAAAATAACAATGGCGCTAGGTGAGATCCTTGAGGAACGTCTTATGGAATGCTGAAAGGAGCAGAGTGAAAATTTTTTAATTTGACAATTAGCATTCTATCGGTTAAGTAGGAAGTCAACCAAGACAAAAAAGGTTCACGAATATTGATAAAATACAGCTTAATTGAGATAATATTGTGATTTATTTTGTCAAACACCTTAGCAAAATCTGTAAAAATTACATCTACTTGATAACCGGAAGTAAAAGCATCTAGTACATATTTTTGAAAAATTAAGAGTAGTCGTTGTTGACTTTAAAAAAAACTATGTTGGTCATTACTAAGTAGCGAAGTAAGTATAGGATATATTTTTTCATAAATAATGGATTCAAATAGTTTTGGAATAATTGAAATAATAGAAATAGGCCGACCGTTGATTATATTAGTTAAATCTCTTCCTTTATTGATAGGCTTAACAAAACTAATTTTTCAATTAGATGGAAAACAACCACTAGAGAGGGATAAGTTATATAAACGTAATAAAGGAATAGCTAAAACGAATTTACAGTTAATAAAGAAACAGTTGGAAATCATGTCAGGACCAGGACTCGTTTTATTAGTGATATTTTCTAATTTATTTAAGACGTCTGTATTGCTTAAAGTATATAAGTTGAGATTTACTTCAATTTAATTATGATTGGTGGATGGCTGATGAGTATTTAAGGTAAAAGAAACTTGATTTTCATAGACGCTGAAAAAGTAATGAGCAAAGCAATCCACAATATCCTTACCTCCAATAAATAAATCATTATCATACATCATAGTGTTCGGAAGGGCCGAACACATTTTTTTATGATTAAAGAATTTCCAAAATAATTTAGGATTTGTTTTAATAGAATTTTGAATGTTAAAAATATTATAATCGATTTTGGATTGAGATTTGCACTTAGCACATAATAGAGAAAATTTATTGTAATGAATTTGCGAAGTAGTCTTTTTGAACAACATGTGAGCAATTTTTTTCTTATAAATTAAATCTTTCAATATTGGGCTGAACCATATTGGATACTTTTATTAAAAAATGTTTTTTTGGTACATTGAGTATCTATAATCTCAAAAATAATATCATAAAATACATGAACCACATCATTAATTTGCAAATTATGAAATACGCGATCCCAATTAGTAGAAGCTAATGAAGATCTAATAATATTATAATCACAGTTTAAATAATCATATATAGTTTCATTAAAATCCAAAGGTTTAATATTAAAATTAATTTTAAATTTAATTAGTAAAGCAGGGTGATACAAATAATCTATAGGAACCAGCGCATACTGTTCAAATTCTCCTTCAACATTTAACGCATTTCATAAAATTAAGTCTAGAATAGAATTTTTATTATTTTTTATTGTATTAAATTGTTTTAGATTAAGAAAAGAAAAATTAGCTAATGCATCCTATTCGATGTTACCATATTTATGAGGAACAACTACATCACTAGTTAATGTCCATACTATATATCATATATTGAAGTTATGGTATAAACTTTTAAAGTGAGTATAAAGAGTTATGGTTGGTTATAATATGGTATGTTCAATTTTTAATTAGGTAGGGCAGCAAAATTTTTATATGTCATCAGAGAACCTCTTTTATTTTTTATCTAAGTGAAGCACTGATAATAAATGTTTCCGATTTTCAAAAGGTGGTTGGTTAGTGAGTAAACTATAATAACACAAATCACATAAAGTGTAATGTTTTAATATAAAATTACATATTATATAATTTGCGGTAATAATAAAATAGATTATGAATTTTAAATTCGTTTACAGAACATTAAATATCGATCATTTTATCTCCTAATAACTATTAGGTATAATTAACTATCATCTATAAAATGATTAAATAGATAAAAATACGTAGTACAAATTCATGTTATTATGCACAAATTATTTGTGCGTATAAATTTTTAATACGTGTGGGTTAGAAGGGAAGGAGGAAAGTGCAATAAGAATGGTTGCATCTGAAAACCGCACACTTTTGATTTTGACCAGAAAGAGGTCGACAAACAAAAACCTCAAACTTTATCGGTCGTTGTATAAAAAAATTACCCTAAACTTATAGTGGTAAAAACCGCGCATTATTCTTAGTATTAACTAACTGATAAGATAAGATTATAAAATATATTGTAATAATCATGCCAGCACGTTATAAATACTTCAGTCACCACTCGTTTTTACTTTATAGGTCTTTTCTATAGTATATACATATAAAGTATATTTTATATGTATACATACATATTTATATATATATATATATATAGTATATAGTACCTATATTTTTTTACATTTTAGAATACTCGTGTATGCATTTCTTTGTTTGAATACATTTTTATATTTTTGATATTTTAAAATACTCATATATGCATTTTTTTTGTTTGAATAAATTATAAGTTATTAAGTAGGTATACTTAACCTAGGTAAGTGTAACCATTTTGTGGTCGAAAACAAAAGTGTGCGGTTTTATCCTACCAAAAATATGTGATTTTGTTCTGTATTTTATCAAAAGTGTGGGGTTTTAGGAGTTAACGAGAATAATAACACCACAGCCTCTCGGATAAAAAATGAATATTTTTCGGCAAACGAGTTCCGTGAAAATTCAATAAATGGTTGTGCAAATTCATACAAATTACGTATTCATTAAATACATATATATATATATATAATTATAAAAAATAAATATAATAAAATATATAATATATATAATATAATATATAATAAATAACATTCGTGTAATTCAGTAGCAAAATATTTTTAGGGGAATTTACAATAATTTAGGGGGGTTTACATGTGCCCGGCACCCTCACTTTTGAATTTTGAAACGAAACCAAGAGCCTTTTTTGGTGCATCATTTATTTTGATTTTTGCTGTAAGTCTCGACATTTGTGCTGTAAACTTTTCGAGATACAAAAGTTTTTCTTATTGGATGTTGGGGAATTTGTTGATAATTATAAATTTCGAAAGTTCGTATAACCACTTCCCAAGCACTCCTAAAAAAACATTTTATCTCGAATAGTTTAAAAGTACAAATATTAAGACTTTCAGCACATATCAGCATAAATGATGCACAAAAAAAGGCTCTTAGTTTCGTTTCAAAATTCAAAAGTGGAGGTGGCAGGGAAATGTTTTTCGGCGGCGATCCGTAGGCCGAGCGGTATATTATATTTGATTTAAGAGTTGAAACCGCAACTGCAACCACTTGGTCCGGATCATCACCAAGTATACTTATTGATATCCGCGTACACGTCGCGTTTGATCTTGAACAGGTGCTCAAAACGTTTCTTATTGAATGAATGCTTCCCCAACTCGTACACACGCCTATCCATCTCAAACTGATACTTTACCTGCAGTTCGTGGATACGCGTCACACGTATCGGTGCATATTTTAATTTATAACAAATTTTTATTTATAATAATAAGTTAATATTAATTTGATTTGTTAATATAACGCAGTGCAGGTCTACTTACGTAAGTCGGAAGCGACAGATAAGGCGTTGTCTCTACGGTAAAAAACACGTTCACCGTTAATTGTGGAATCGGATACTCCGGTGTAGGCATCGAAAACTCTACCTGCAACGTGTAATAACTCTCAAAAGTAGCAATACATAATTTGATTTATTATAATTATTTTATATAAAACTGTAATTATAGAAATAATTTCTTCACTTTCAAAACATTAGTCTGTACCTTGTTCTTGTACGACAGTATCTAGCATACGTAATGGATTAAATTAGGAATAAGAGTTTTATTATTTTCAATATGCTCTCTGTTTAATGATCACGATAAAATAAAAACGTTAAATTTTTTGTGAGATAATCGATAATTCACTAACATAAAGTTTATTTTTCATTGAGCATCTTGCCCGTCCAAATAAATAATATCAAATATATAAAAAGTTTTAATGCAGCACTGACCCTATTTTTAACTATCAATTAAAATATTAATAACCTAAATTACTACAAATTTAATTACTTGTATTTTAACAAATTATTGTAAGTGATAGAATTTTTACGGCTTTTTCATTTTTTTAAGAATAGATTTTTAAGATACGGGGTATAAGAGCTGATGAAGTAAAGTCGTGCCTTAAATCTTCATATTTATGGCCACATATTCAGAAAGTTGCACTTCATAATAGTATGAATGTTCATTTGAAAGGTGACACATCGCTGAGATTTTTGCTGAGATGTTACTCAAAATAAGAGACAAAAATGTCTCTACTTTAGAAAAAGAGATCATTATTCCTTCAATTATGGGTATAGTTGTTTGTTTTTTATCAAAACTAATTTCTAGAGTATACCCTGATATAATTAACATCAAGAAAAAACCCACCTAATGGTTGTGTAAGCAAGCAAACATAACTCCAAAGATATTTAATACAATTTTTATTTCAACATTTTTCCGATTAGAGTTGTATCTTAAGGCGCGTTCTCATGAGTCAAGTTTAGTTGACCGATTAGAGTTGATTAACAAAAATTGAATAAAGTTGAATCAGTTTTTGTTCACACATTTCAATAGAACATGTTTCAATTTTATTTTGAACTCAGTTGAAAAGCCGTGGTCGACACGTAGTTGACACCAACTGTCATGCTTATGATAAAGTTCTAAGAATTTTAGCACCTCGTTTTCAGACCATTTGAAGCTTATTTTTAAAATTAAAAATATTTAATACGATAAAAATTAAAAAAAAAAGCACAATTGACAAAATAAAACATAAAATTCACGTGTGACTGCCCACTGGTTGAAAACAAACTGAAGTTCAACTTGAATCAACTGTAGTGTAGGTTGTTCTCACGTATCAAGATGGGTTTCAACTTGAAAGAAATTGAAAAACAACTCATTACTTGAACGATAAAGTTTGACCGGATCAAACTTTTTTTGATCAACTAATTAGTTGTTTTTAAATTTTATTGAAACAAAGGTTCTCACTACAGATTTTATTCAATTTTTGTTGATCAACTATAATCGGTCAACTAATCTTGACTCATGAGAACGTGCCATTACAATTTGTCTTCAAAATACTAAAATATGGTAATATTTGCTAAATATTACCTATCGGGGCACTTGCCCCCCCTGGAATAATGTTATTTCCACAGAAATATTTTTTAATTTTTTAATTGTAATAATAATACCTACCTAACTGTAATGTTTTTATTCATAATTTTAATAATGACGAAGTATAATAATTTACTATAAATAAAATGTATAAAAAAATTTTCATTTATTTTTTAAATTAATTTTGCTCCCCCTAGAAAAATGTCTGGGGACGCCCATAAATAGTAATTATTTTTATTTTATTTATAAATATCTGATAGTATGTATTTTATTCATATTTATAATATACTCGTACATGATATAAATTAATAACAGTTCATTTTAGTCATTTAGCTCTTCAGTGTTGTGTTTAGCATATGAACTGTGAATTAGAGTGCAGTATTTGTACAAAAATTTAATTTTGATTTCTTTTTTGAGACATTATTTTGTAATAGAAATATAATTTTATTAAATATCTTAATAATTTATTAACTTTATTATTAAAATTGGCTGGAAGAAAACATTTCATTTGTCGAAGCTAATATAATCTTTTTACAACATTCCGTTATAATTTTTTTTTTTATGACAAAGAAAATCTTAAGAACATTTTTTTATCCAATTTTCATGTCTTAAATATTAAATCAATTTTTATGCATTTTCAACTATAAAAATGTACGACTAATATTTTATGAGATAAAATCGAATTTTTGTAATATTTCTAGGTGACTATAAGTTGCGTTCCAATGTACCTTTTTTATGTAAACTGAGTCCCGAGTAATTTTGGGTATACTAAATTGCATCCCGTACATTTTTTGTACATATGTACATTGCATCCCGGGTATTTTTATATTAAAATTTATATTAACAATTTACAACCAATATTCTCCTCCCTATTAAAAATATTGCTGTATGTATTAACACTTTTTTATTTAAAATTAATAAACAATAATAATAAAAAAACAATTTTTATACGTCATATTATATTAATTATTAATAATGCAATTAACGTATACCTGACAGAAACACGGTTCACAACTTACGTATGTATCTGAGAAATACCGGTCGCAACTTATGTATGTTGTTATGGGGACCTTTTATAATAAAATATGTAATATGCAATATATGAGCTAATATTATGAATATATAATATGTACTATATATTCCTTGGCGTGCGAAATACTATTAAAAGCTTTTAACTGTATATCAATACTTTGTTTTCTTTGATGTATTAGAAATTGTTGTTGCATCAAATGATGTTTGGAATGATATTAGTATATATCTGAATGGCCGTGTTAGCAAAAATGCAATACATTTGTTCGTGCATAGTGATCGTCATTGTGTGAAAAAAGCTTTAGGATTACAAGAAGAGTATGTACAAGACATTTGTCAGATTTCTTCAAATAATACTCAGGCGAATATTGCTAACGAACAGAGTATATATAAATAGTTTATATAATATTATTTGTAATATACAAGTATATTATAAATACAAGTGAAATACATACTATCGGATATTTCTTTAGAAAATAAAAATAATTACTATTTTTATCCCACGTCATTATTATCTAACAAATATATGAATATAATTATTCACAAAATAAATTTTTGTAAAACATGTATTTTTACTGGTGGGAAGGGTTGGAATAACGTTATTCCAGCCCCTCCCGCTAAAAACGAATTTTTCTCGGTAAACGAGCTTCGTACAAATTCTGAAAATAGTCGTACAAATTCATACAAATTAAGTACTAATTATGAGCATGAAAAAAATCACACATTTCTGGATGGGGGGGGGGCAGGGTAATGGATGTTGAATTACGTCCTAAGTGATCAAAGATAACCAGAAATCTGACATGAGGTAGTTACGAGTACATGAAAGCCTGAGATTTTCGTTTGGTTGGTTGATCGCTTATTCTCGCTCTTGGCTAGTATAGAGTCTAAAATAATAAAATAAGTTTACCTTGTATTTGTGACAAGTAGAACTACAAGTTATCATTGTGCCAGTCTTTTCAATAGTGAACAAAAATCTTTGATCCAAATCCCAATTCTGTTTTATGTATTCAGAAATATTCACCAAGGCGTCTTGGTCATTGAGCCATTTCGATTCGGACGTTAATGAACTATTAGAATCTGATATGGGTGGTCGTTTGTCCCTGCATATTTTTATGTACTTTCTATTTGTCACTTTATATTCATGTTCATGATCACTTTTTGTTGCATTTAATCTAAAATCAATTTCACAGTAGATGACTTTAAGATTTACTGTACATTGCTTTAAATAAAAATTTAACTGTTTTTAATTGTTTTTGACTGTTTGGCTTATGTCAAGTTAGGTTCCATCACGATTTATTATTATGTAAATTAATATGGGTTTTGAATAATGAGTTTTAATTATTAATAGAAAATTAGTGAATAGAGAAGGATATAATTTAGGCGAAAGATTGTTTTAAATTAATTTGTTCAATTATTTTAAGCTGTAATCATATATTGAAAGTAGTTAAACTTATTTTGATTAACATATTTTATCAATTTTTATATCTTAATTTTGTTCCACAATTACATTGTTTTGTAATAAATCATTTGGTTTATAATAATAATAATAATAACAATTAAGTATTGTTTTTACTTATAAGTTTTCAAAGCACATTCGAACAATTTTTCAGATTCAGCAATAACTTTTTTTACCAGATTTTTAGCTGTTTTATTTAAAAAGTAAATAAAGTTTTCATCCAATCCATGAGGTTCTTTGTATTCATTACACGTTTCATTATGTTGTTCATAGACATGAAAGAATACATTAGATGCTTTTTCATTTGATAGAGGTTTGTCATTTTTCCATAATATAATTACATCGCTAGAATTAGTTGAGATAAATGGTGTTTTATATAAATCCATTAATTTATTGAATATATTTAATATATCAACAATTAAATTTAAAAAAATAATGAATAAACATTAATTTTTTATTTTTTAAATACTAAATTATTAAAAAAAAAAAAAAACAAATTGATTAAGTAACCAAGCAATTGTTATCAATATATCATTTAAAATTTCCCTAAATACGTATTTAAACTAAAATAATTACTATGGAATAGGTACAAATTATAAATTTTAAATTTTTTATTAATAGCGTTGCTATAATATCACCAATTACAACGGTTTTCAAACATTTAGTTTTCTAGTATTACCTAAAAATGTTCAAGATTTTTACGTACTGCGATACAGTTGATAAAAAATCCCTTTGAAATACGTTAATGGGTAGTTGATAACAATGAAAAAATATATACTATGCAGATTTTTAATTTAAAAAACATTTAATTCATTATACTCTATCCTACAGTATGGGCGCTACATTTTTATTAGTCCCAAACGTCAAATATCCTAGATCCGGCACCGCTCTATTAAAAACGTGAATAAATTAAATGATTTTATTTTTATTACAGCTCAACTGAATTTTTGTCAAATTGATGAAAAAAAGTATAAAATCATTGATTGTTTCAAATAGTTCGAAAAATAAATTAACTAGATCCATATACTAACGTTCATCTTTTAGGATTTACATTATTTATTTTTTACTATATATTATTTTATAAAGTTTATTGTTTGAAAAAAAAAATTACTGTGAACATATAAAGAATTAGAAAATGTGAAAATATGTATTGGTAAAATTCATTGTTTACTTTTTTTTTTGAACGTGAAAAATATTAAATTTTTTAATGAATATATGTAACATATTTTAAAATCTATCAATATTTTATATTTTTATTTTTTTTATATATATATATAATTTGTGTTATAAATTAATATTTTGATTCGGTTGACAATATTTGTCGTAATTCATTATTAAAATTATTTATAGTTCTAATAATTTTAATTATAGTAATAAGTATTGACCAAAAAAAATGTTTACTAAGCATTGGTATTTTAAGAATTTAAGATAAAATATTTATTTTATCTTATTTTTTCCAGACATTATCCCACGTAAACATTGTCACAAAACCTTGACTGTTTTCGATTTTATTTAAATTGTTATTTGTAATATTTTTTCTGCTAACAAAATATTATTTTAATCGAATAATTCTATTGTACTTTAGTGCGATAAAAATATTAATACGATTATACCAGTTAAATTATCGATGACGTTGCTAATGTTAAGTAGGCATTTTATTTATTTATTTATTTATTTGTTTTTTTTTTTTTAACATAACAGTTAGCCGTACTGTTTGTTATTTTACTTCATTAGCGTTTTGTTTTTGTCGGCCCAATTTTCTTGAATCGTATAGAATATTTTCAAGACTCAACATTAAGATGATGACTACTGTTCATAACATAATTGAGCTGACTGGTGTACAGTTGAGTTTTGGTACTTACAGAAAATGCGAATTTACGTTAGTAAGGCTTTTGAATATACCTGTTTCGGCCATGAATTTAATAGTCTTTCATTTTCCTAGATACTCCTTCGAATTGTTTTTACTTGATAATATGTATATATAATATGAATTAGTGCTCTTGATTTGATGTGGGTAATACTCATGTACCCAGAAACCCGGATACTCGGGTACCCGAATATCCGGGTAATACCCGATTTTGTGGGTAGTCAACGTTTTCGGGTAGTGGGTACCATTACCTAAAATTTTCGGGTACCCGGTGGTTTTTGATATTCGTAAACGGTTAAGCTAAGTCTTAACTGCTAAGAGGTAATCAGTATTATATTATACATTACACAATTATTCGAATAAAAAATATTAAAATATATCCTCTTTTAAATTAACAAAATTACGTTTTAAAAATAAAATCTTTAGTATTTTATGTGAGTGTTATTAATAATATTATATTTCAATAATTAGTTTATTCAAGTATAATGTCGAATAACATGTTAAAAACTATTATAAAGCCTATATTTAAATTTTGCAGACAACGTATATAGTGGCCTTATTCGTTACCTATTATATGTATAGCTACGCATATAATAATAAGTAATCACAATCAGTGGCGTACATACGGGGAGGAAGGAGGCGTTCAAATCCATCCCCAGAGCCAAAAAATAAAAGAAAATTGTGATATTATTGATGACGTGTAATATATTCATAGTTTCATTGTTACGCTTTGAACTATACAACTATACAAAAATTATAATAATTGAATAATTTTATTGATAGGTGTTTGAAAAGTTTTTTTTAACTATGCTGTTTTTATATTCCTATAGTTACTAATTTACTGTAATATAAAAGTAAACAGAAAATTGTTATAAAAAGTTGTATAAAATAATATTTATTTATAACAGTTATTTATCTGTGCAACGAAAAAAAAAGATAACAAAATTTATTATGTTTTAGAAAAAACATGTATTTACATACAAATCCCAGCTCTAGTAATGAATAAACAAACCATAACGGGTACCCGAAATTTTGTAAATCGGGTAATACCTATAAAACCTAGGTACCCTAGTATCAAGAGCACTAATTATAATACATTGTCTACAGAAGAATATTTTTTAATGCTGTGTAGTGGTTACAAATCACACGCTGTAAAACAATTATTTTAATATAAACAAAAATGTATACAAACTACTAGTCTTAGAAATTTTATTACTAATAAAGATTTAAACATTATACATTACATAGGTACTTTTATTTAATCAACACAATATTTTATCCATACTGAAAAATATACAGAATTTCAAAACAGTAACCATCTTGCTATATATTCACAAAATGCACAAATATGGAAATTTCAGGGGCTTCAAATTGATACTTTTGAGTTTAAGTTAGTTTACAACATTTTATTAGGTGTTGCAAGTAAAACTTCTCGGTGGGAGGCGGCGCAATGAAGTTACTGAGTTTCGCCACCACCGTGCGTTACAATAAAGCTGCATTGTTATAAAATCACATGAAGTAACTGATTTTTTTGGTATAAAGTAGATTCAGTATTAGTGAAATTAAATAAAAATTTAAAAAATATTCAAAATTGAATTTAAATGTGAATAATTTTAAAACCAAAATCATTATAATTTACCTACATACAAAATCAATTTTCTTTTTTTTATCATTCATATTTTAGATTTTGAGTGAAACGAAGAGTATATTTGCGTTTTTCTTTTGTGTACCTACGTACATAATTTATACTAGAATGATTGCTCAGATCATAATAAAATAAAAAGTAAAATATAGGGTTCTAGTTATTATTATTAAGATTTTCATTGCATCAAAAAAAAAAAAAAAAATGTTGACATTATTTTGTAATAGATGTTCAGTTTTCTCTCAGACGATTAGTGTATTACTATGTAATTATTGACGGCATACTATATATTTACGATGGTATAAATTTATTTAAACTATTTTAATTTCTATTTCTATACAAAATAAAAATATATGCATTTCAACTTTTGTTAAAATTTACAATCCTCTCACACCACTACCTTCATACAAATCATAAAAATGTCCATATTCAGAAAATCGTCGGCGAAGTATACTCTCAACAAAACTGTTATGAACATTACTGAGTGAAATATATAATGCTAGTTGAATTATTCAGCTTCGCCTATGTGTAATTTTTGCTTTCTCTAAATTAAATTCATAAATGAACACACATTGTTGTGTTTCAAAATAGAAAAAAAATGTATTTTACTTAATTTGATCAATAGTAATAGTAATAGTAGCTGAATTACGAATAAAAATAATAATAATAATAATAATAATATTTAGAAATGATTTTAATGATTCTATACACAGAAAATAATTAAAAATGATTATTTATTAATAGTTATAATTATAATTTGTAAATTTCATTATGGTGTTAAAAATGGAGAATTCAATAAATCCATCAAAAAGCCAAGCAGTACTTTTTTCCCTACGTAAACCACAAATACCTCAACCAGTAAGATTCGACAACAAGCCAATATCATGGAATTCATCGGTAAAATATTTAGGTGTTATTCTAGATAAGAAATTTAGTGACGATATATATCGGCTAAACTTCAACAAGCTTACCAGCGCTTAGGTGTTCTCTTCCCAATAATAAATAGAAAATCAACTATTAATAAAATATGCCCACTTATTATATATAAGCAAGTACTGAGACCCTCAATCTTATACGCATGTCCTACATGGGGCAATTGCGCTAAAAGCCACTTAAATGAAATACAAATTTTCCAAAACAAAATACTTCACATAACAACAGATGCTCCCTGGTTTGTATGCAACCAAGCACTGCATAATGACTTGAAAATCCCCACTATTGACGAACACATAAACTACAGTTAGTAAGCAAACAAATTATTCTACTCACTTATGAACTCATATGGTGCAATGCATTATAACTTAAATGTAAGACATCTAAGTATTCGCCGTTTTTAGAGAGGAAGACCCTATGACCGCAGAGAGCGACATCCACCATCAGTCATTGCTTAATTGGATACATCATGCCAGATAAACACCTAAATTAAACTTATTACTTATTAATTTAATATCTTATTATTATATCGCAATTATTTTAAAGAAAAAAAGAAAAATTTGTAAAAAAAATTGTATGTTATCAATAGGCTAGATAGCTACTTAGCTAGGAATGCCTTAATCTAATAATAATATAAAAAAAAAAATTATAATTTGTATAATTTAATTTTATTTATAAATATTTACAAATTATTCTATACTCAGTTACACTATTCTAAAATGACTTAAGTCAAAACCTCTTCATTTACTACATTCAAGGTTTTATTTTGTTGTGCATAAACGTATAAATGGGTCAGATTTTCCAACTCTAAAAAATGCTACGTATAATTTATAATTATTTATTTATTAATAATTATAATTATCCATGTGAGAAACAGTTATTTTCCTTATTTACACCACAATAAATTAAAGTCTGACCTTGCGTTTGATTTATTGTCAATACAA